TGGGTTGGTGCGTAGTCTTTGGGGTGGGAGATTTGTGGAGTGGATTGTTTTGGATACTGTTGGCTCTTCGGGTGGCATCTTGATCATATGGGATAACAGATGGGTGTCTAAGGTGGATTCTCTTGTTGGGAGATTTTCTGTTTCCTGTGTGTTTTCCTTGGTGGAGGATGGTGTTCCTTGGGTTTTTTCTGGTGTTTACGGGCCTACAGAGGATAGCGTGCTTCATCTGCTTTGAGAGGAATTGGGGGAGATTCGAAGACGATGGATGCTTCCTTGGTGTGTTGGAGGAGACTTCAATGTTGTTCGATCTCCTTTTGAGAGGTCGACGGGGGGTAGATGGACTTCTGATATGGAGCTTTTCTCGGAATTCATTGATGAGTGTAGGTTGATTAATCTGCCTCTGGAGGGAGGGCCTTTTACTTAGTCCAGTGGACGTTCTCCCCCCACTCTCTCTCGACTTGACAGGTTCCTTGTGTCTGGGGAGTGGGAGGAGATGTTTTCTGATGTTGTGCAAGCTACTTTGGCTCGTCCTATTTCTAACCATGTTTCCTTGATGCTGGATTGTGGCGGGTTGCGGAGTAGACGCTCTCCATTTAGATTTGAGAATATGTGGCTTAGGGCTGAAGGTTTCTTGGAAAAGGTCCATTTTTGGTGGGAGGGGTTCGGGGTGTTAGGCACCCCAAGTCATTCACTTGCAAGTCATTTGCGTCGTTTGAAAGGAAGCATTAAGATTTGGAACAAAGAGGTCTTCGGGAATCTTGTGTGGAGGAAAAATCGGGTTCTGGCTGAGATCGCTGATATTGATAGGATGGAAGGTCAAGGGGATCTGGCAGATGCTTTGAAGGTTAGGAGAGCGGAGTGTAAGGCGGAGTTTGCTGAGATTGCGATCATGGAGGAAATCTCGTGGAGACAAAAGTCTAGAGCTTTGTGGCTCAAGGAGGGGGATAGTAACACGAAATTTTTTCATAGATTGGCCAATGCTCATAAAAGGGGCAACCATATAGGGAGGATTCATGTGGAAGGGGTGCTTCTTTGCAAGGAGGAGGATATCTGCAAGGGCATTTCTGAGTTCTACAAGAAGTTGTTTACTGAGTCTGTTGAGTGGAGACCTTTGCTTGAAGGGCTTCAGTTTGCCTCTATTTCTGGTGAGGACTGCTCTGGTCTGGAGGTGCCTTTCTCTGAAGAGGAAGTTCTTATTGCTTTGAAGAGTTGCAACGGGGATAAAGTCCCGGGTCCTGATGGTTTTACCATGAGATTTCTTTTGGAGTGCTGGGAGGTGGTTAGAGGGGAGGTTATGGGTTCTTTTCATGCTTTCCACGCTCAGAGCTCTTTTGAGAAGAGCTTAAATGCCACTTTCATTTCTCTCATTCCGAAGAAAGGGGGGGCGATGGATATTAGGGATTTTCGCCCTATTAGTTTGGTGGGGTGTTTCTATAAGTTGATTGCCAAGGTCCTTGCTTCAAGGCTTCGGAAAGTCCTGGATGGCGTCATCTCTGATTCTCAGAATGCATTTGTGGGAGGTCGTCAGATTTTGGACTCAGTTCTTATTGCTAGTGAGTGTGTAGACTCCCGTTTGCGTAGTGGGGTTCCGGGAGTTTTGTGTAAGCTTAACCTAGAGAAGGCTTACGACTATGTGAGTTGGAGCTTCCTTCTTTACCTGATGGAGAGGATGGGGTTTGGGGATCGATGGAGGAGATGGATCTATTTTTGTATTTCCAGTGCTCGCTTTTCTATTCTTGTGAATGGTGCTCCTACCGGTTTTTGCCTCTAGCTCGAGGGGTTTGAGACAAGGGGATCCGCTTTCCCCTTTCTTGTTCCTGTTTGTGATGGAGGCCCTAAGCAGATTGATGAGCAAGGCTACTGAGTTGGGATTTTTGAGAGGCTTTCGGGTGGGCAGGGATGTTGCTCCCCAGTTGGAGGTCTCTCATTTGATGTTTGCCGATGATACTTTGGTTCTTTGTGATGCGAATGTGTCCCAGCTTCGTTATCTGAGATGTGTCCTGATCTGGTTCCAAGTTGTTTCTGGCCTTAAGGTGAATGTGGGCAAAAGCATTTTGGTGCCGGTGGGAGAGGTTCCTGAGATTGAGTTTTTTGCTGATATTCTTGGTTGTTGTACTGGCTCTTTTCCCATTTCTTACTTAGGGATGCCTTTGGGGGCCCCATCAAGATGTGTTGGGGTTTGGGATCCTATGGTGGATAGATTTGAGAAGAGGTTGGCGGGTTGGAAGAAGCAGTATCTCTCCAAGGGAGGTCAGGTCACTCTGATTAAGAGCACCCTTTCTTGCCTTCCTACTTATTTTATCTCTCTGTTTCAGATTCCCTCTTCAGTTGCGGAAAGGATTGAGAGATTGCAGCGTAATTTTCTGTGGGGGGGTAGAGGTGAAGAGTTTAAGTTTCATCTGGTTTGTTGGGATCAGGTGTGTAGGCCAATTCGTTTTGGTGGTTTGGGTTTTTGAAGACTGGTGCCTTTCAATAAGGCTCTTCTTGGTAAATGGTTGTTGAGATTTGGGGTGGAGAGGCATTGGCCTTGGAGGAGGGTCGTTGCTTGTCGTTTTAGGGAGTCTAAAGGGGGGTGGTGTTCTCTGGAGGTGCGTAGCCCTCGGGGTGTGGGGGTTTGGAAAGTCATTCGGAAGGGATAGGATGAGTTTTCCAAACACGTTCGTTTTCGCATCAGGGATGGTAGGAGGATCAGTTTTTGGGAGGATGTGTTGTGTGGGGATTCTCCTCTCGCCATCTCTTTTCCTCATCTTTTTAGGATTGCTACGGATAGGCAGGCCATGGTGGTTAACTGTTATCATCTTCATAGTGGGACTCTTGTTTGGGATGTTCGATTCAGGCAGTTGTTTCAGGATTGGGAGATTAAGGAGGCCATTCGTTTTTTGGAGTTGTTGTATCGCCAAAGGATTGTGGATGGGGTTTCTGATTGTTAGTCCTGGGTTGCAACCTCTCATGGGCGCTTTGAGGTTAGATCCTTTTTCAGATGCCTCACGGATGTTACTAGAGCTCGCTTCCCTTGGAAGGCTTTTTGGCACTCTAAGGCTCCTCTCAAGGTGGGTTTTTTTGCTTGGACTACTGTTTTGGGAAGGATCTTAACCCAGGATAATTTGAGAAGGCGAAATCAGGTGGTGGTCAATCGTTACTATTTGTGTCTTCGGGATGAGGAAACTGTGGATCACCTTCTCCTCCATTGCACCATGGTTAGAGACTGCTGGAATTTGATGTTTGGCTTGTTTGGGATTCTTTGGGTTATGCCTGGATCCGTTAGAGGGTTGATTGAGGCTTGGAGAGGTTGCCATGTGGGGCCTCACATTCTGGATGCTTGGAGGGCTACACCTCTTTGTGTGTGGTGGTGTATTTGGCTCGAGAGGAATAGAAGATATTTTGATGGGAAAGAGTTGTCGATTTCTACACTTAAATTCTCTATTATTTCCACCCTTTTTTGTTGGGTTTCTGGGAGAGATCATAGATCTTTAGAGGAAATTGTCGATTTTTTGGCCTCTTTGAAGGCTTAAAGGTCCTTGGTGGCCTTGTGTATATCTTCAGAGCTTCGCTCCCCTTTTAAGCGCTTTTATAAAATTTTCTTACTTATCAAAAAAAAAAAAAGAGTGTCTTATACCTCAAGTTGACCACTCAGCCTGTCCGATTTGCACTCCGAATTTTCGCTAAACTCATCCTGTATTCCTAGTTCTGAAGTAACGTTCTTATGTTCAATTCTAAAAGTACTTTATCTTATACCATCCTGACTTAAGAACTTCTCTCCACCCCTGTAATTTAGCGCACATCAATTCTTTAGTTTCATCTATCAGGACAATATCATCAGCATAAAACAAACAGTATAGATCCTCATCTTGTATCTATTTAATCAATTCATCCATAATCAAGCCAAAAATAAGAGCACAAGGTTGATTCCTATTTTTAACCAACAGTGAATTGGAAATTTACTTGATTATCCTGCAATTATTCTTATTATATTCACAATGCAATTGTACATATTATTTGTCATATCAATAAATCTATCTGTGACTCATATTTCTAAATACACCATATCATATCTCTAGGGATCCTATTATAAACTTTCTGTAAGTAAATAAAATCAAAATGAAGACCTTTCTTCTTCCCTCTACAATTTTTCCACAAGCTCCTCAATTAGAAAACAACTTCCTTGTTTACACCTCTAACATAAATCCAAATTAATTTCACTGGCATTTTTATTTCATGTCTTAGTCATTACTCAATCATACTCTCCCACATATTTATAATAATATATTACATTTTCATGTGTTTTAACATTGTTCTGTGTCTGGTTTATATAAATTTTTATTCATATAAATGTTTTTAGTATTTTTCCCTCACCCGAATCATATGGACCCTCTTAACAATCCAACTATAGGATACTTATTTTCACAACTTTGCAAGACCTCCATCTCTAGCTAATATTGGTACAAGTGTGATTGTCATCAGAGCAAGGAGAAGTAGAAGGTAAGTTAGGTAACAACTGGAATCATACAAAGAATCCTCATCTATTGATGCGTAAAACTTTAGAGAATGTGGAGTTGGCGATTCATGTTACAGTGATAATAGTCAAAGCTACCAACAGAAGCATATATTTATAAGCTGTTTATCTTTCCCGAACTTCCAGGTCCCAAATCTTGATTTAATCCGAAAAGTATCAGTTGACTATTCAATGCAATACTAAAACTTCCAACAGCCCATGGTGCAGAGAGAGAGAGAGATAATAAGAAAAAATCATACAGATCAACAGGGAAAAAAGAAAAAAGAAATCCAAACTCACGGACATTTTCAGAATTTGAAGGACGGAGTAACAAAATCAGAAAGAATGGCAGTATTTCCTCTATGAAAAATTATCTCCTAGTTTTTTTAAAAACACGTGATAACAACAATAAAAATATTTAATATCATGTCATGATATTAAGCATCATTTACTAAGCACTACAAGGATCATAAGAAACTGGAAGAAGTCAAAAAGTAAAGTCTTCCACCTGATTAAGCCCCAAAACATGTGATTTAAGAACTTCTTCAGGAATTGCTTCCAAGCTCTCTGGAGGAGTTTCTGCCAGCATTATTTCTGCAGCATCAGTAAGGTCAAGATACACTTCATCAATTGAAGCCCGCTCACATCGACCTGTCCTTGCAAAAATAGAAACCACCTGCAAGTTGAATAATATAAACCATAAGTTCCATTCCCTAAGACAATTACAAAATGGAATAAGGTTAAAAACACAAGGATAGCTTTAAAATTCCTTAAACCTCTGAACCCGCATTTCGGTATATGCTCAAGTCAGCTTTACCACGAGCAACTGGGACTCGGACAAGCTGAATTTGTGGGCAAACTTGCTTAGCCTCATCACCTCTCATCGAACTTAAAACATGCAAGAGACTTCAAAGAGTCAAAGAAAATCAAGTTACAGCCAAGAAAAAAATAACACTCTACGTACCGCTTCACCCCGTATTCGCGGGCCTCATAGCTGACAGCAATCAGGCCCCCACCTTTCCAGGAGTTATATTGTATCACAGCAGTGGGCTTACCTCTTAAATTTGGTTGCTTACGCTGCTCCACTACAAAGACACAAATTCGAAAAGCCAATTAGCATGGCAAAACTAAAGATGCCGCAGTAAATTTAGCAAATCACATGCCAGCTCAAAATTTTCACATATTTTTTATGTTCATGATTATTTAGTAATTTCTGGAGAACTTATGACAATTGTAAGGATATAAGAAAAGTCATAAACCCTAAAATCAGAGCTAAGGAAGGAAAACAATTGCAATCAACAGGAGAACGAGAAGGCCGATTCAGAGAAAATCATGGAGTATAAAAATAAAAAGCCCAAATTATTTTTAACTGATACGAAATGGAAATCCAAACCTGACAACCAGCGACTGATTTTGCCTCAAGGGCAGTGATACCGTAAAGGGCATATGCCAAACTATGGTAGGCTTTGGAGGGCCTTTTTGGCATCTCAAAATGTGCTTTGAATCCTTGGAAATCCTTTTACAGAGAATGGGTGTTCGTTTAGCTTACCTAGATTGGTTTTTAGAAGAAGCCCAACTCTTTAAAAGCTCTACTGGTAGAAGCTTCCAGGAGCAGCTTTTTGAACAACTTCTCGCAAGCTAGGTGGGAACTTATGTGACAAATCTGAAGAAAACGATTTGAAGTCTAGACTTCAATAGATGTTCTCATACAAACCCTAGTCCTTCATAAAATTACAAGCTCCTATAATAGTGATTCAAAAGAGCAGGAAGGACGACCAATGAAATTAAATTGCAGAGAGAATAAAATAAATCAAGTTCGTGTTAAGAAATAAATATGATATATAAATGAGCAAATTGCACTGATCTCCCCTCTAGTTAGAGAAAAATACACTGTGCGCCCCTATGATTTGGATAATTACACTTACCTCCCTTATAAGTTACGGACGTTAATGTCTGTTAATAGAGCATATGAAATTATAATTTTGTCCTTGTTATTTTAACGCTCTCTGCTCAAACCTTCAACTACCCACAACCTGTTAAAATTCAGAGGTTTGTTTCCCAAAGCTCCTGATCTCCATCTGTCCATCATGCAAGGGAAAGAGAGCACGATCTCCATCCATGGCAGAGAACACCATCATGGAAGCAAAGGAAAAGCTCATGATTTCACTCAGAATTGGAGACATTTCCTCAAATCCTCTGTCACCACATTGATAAACCAGTCTTTGATCTTCCTTCACTGTCTCTCTCCCCTGTACCCACCAATTCTGAGCCAAAGAAACAGCCATTGAAAGCGGCCTTGCAATTTCGTAAGCTTTTCCATGTTGCAATCTAGTTGCGGACTGTCAGAAGTTGGAATCAAAGAACCTCAGAAGTTTCAAAGAAAGAAGCAAATTGAATTGAATGAAAAGTTAACTAAGAAAAAAATAATAATAATAAATAAATAAATAAATAAATTTATTGAATGAAAAGTTGGGTTGGCGATGGAGCCAACATGAGAACAAAATGGGTCCATACTCCAAACATCTACATCTCCTGTAAATATTACTTCTATATAGCATTTCATTACACACACACACACACACACATATATATATATATTCTGGCTCTTCAGACTTTAGGCTTCAGGTTTGAGTGTGGAGAGAGACTTTTCTGGGTTGTGTGTGGATTTCTGTTTTGGGTTATCCCCTGAAATGCATCGATTAGCTGATATAGTTATTATTCGTTGTCAATGCAAAGAGGGAGAATTTAAAGAGAGAGAGTTTTAGATAGAGGGGGCATGTAAAAGAAAATTAGGAGTTAGTGAGAAGGTAAAAATGTCTTCACAGACATTTCAAGGGCATAATTGTCATTGAAAGTTTAAATTTTGACTCACGACAAATTACGCGTACCAAGAACACAATCAAGACTCACAACAGAAAAGTAAATATGCCACATAAAGAACACAAAGATTTACGTGGTTTGGCAAAAGCCTATATCCACGGTGAAAATCCGGCGAAAGATTTTACCATATGAAAATCAGGAGATAACAAGTTTCAGCCTCCAAACCCTAGCGCTCTCTCACACTCTCTTTCGTGCATTTTCCAATGCTCTCTGGTAGACCATCCAAACCCAAAACGCCCTTATATACTCATCTACAAAGAGTCCTAACCAGGGTCCAAGACCTGCGCCAAAAAAACACACACAAAAACCCAATTTATTTGGCCAAGACCGGGTCTTGTGAACAAAATTCGGGTCACAACTTCACAAAATCAGTTTCAACCACTACAGAAGATATTACCTAAAAAGAGGTCACTCACATCTTATAGTAACCCTGATAGTTTTGATGAGTGTACAACTAACTTGACAGTGCAATCAGCAATACCATGTGTAAAGTCTCCACCTGCCGTGAAGCCTTCTTTGTATCCCAATGTCTGGGGCGTCCATGAAGTTCAAGATTCTTGCATTGACTGACACTCTGACATAAGTGAAAATGTATGAAGGCATCAGAAAATAAAACTTTCCAGGTGGATCTAGTGACACTTTATTGTATTCTTTGGGTTAAAGAAAAGATTAGGTGACACTAGTTGTAATCCCCAGCATAATTTGAGGAGGTGGAGTGTCATTAGTTGCTTATTGTTGAAAGAGAGATAGAGAAAGAGAATATATGAAAACTTATATGCTATTGAGTAAGTAATACAATAACACAATGGTGTTTATATAGGAGAAGCTACGGGAGTAGGTGAGTGGAGAACAAGAAAACCCTATACATGGAAATTCTATATATGGTAATGAGGGGTAGGTGACAACTCACTAACTGTACACATGTGACAACTCATACAATTCTATACAACACTCCCCCTCAAGCTGGAGTTTAAATGTCAATAACTCCCAACTTGCTACATATGGAATCAATAGAGTTCTTGGGAAGCGTCTTAGTGAAGATGCCTGCCAGTTATCTACCAGAAGGAACAAAAGGTGTAACAATCTCATTCGAGTCAACTTTAGTTTAAATGAAATGGCAATCTACTTCAATGTGTTTAGTCCTCTCATGGTAGACTGGATTGCTAGCAATATAAATAGCTGCCTGATTGTCACAATGAAGAGGAATTGGGTACTGGACTGAAATCCCAAGTCCTGTAAGAGAGTTTTCAACCAAGTAAGTTCACAGGCAGGGTGTGCCATGGCACGATACTCTGCTTCAGCACTAGAACGAGCCACAACTGACTGTTTCTTACTCCTCCAAGTTACTAGATTTCCTCCTATGAAGGTGCAGTAACCCATGGTGGACCGACGATCAGAAGGAGAACCAGCCCAATCTACATCTGTATATCCCTCAATCCAAAGATGTCCAGAAGATCGATTAAGCAAACCACGTCCCGGAGCACCCTTGAGATACTTCAAGATGCGTACAACTGCCTCCATATAATGTACCCGAGGACTGGTCATGAACTGGCTCACAACACTGACTGAATAGGAGTTGTCTCGGCGAGTGATTATGAGGTAAATAAGTTTACCTACAAGTCTCCGATACGTCTCTGGATCATCGAGTCGGTCACCATCATCCACCTTAAGTTTTACATTAGTATCCATGGGTGTAGCTATAGGTTTTGAACCAAGATATCCAATATCCTGTAATAGATCAAAAGTATACTTCCGCTGAGAAGACTAATGCCTTGCTTCGACTGAGCCACCTTAATTCCTAGAAAATGTCAAAGTTTGCCCAAATCCTTAATAAGGACGCTAGAACCCAAGTGTTGGATTAGAACTTGTATCCCATCTTTGTCACTGCCAGTGATAACAATATCATTTACATACACCACAAGAATCACAATACGACGTTTCGTTTTCTTAAAAAAAAAAAGAGAATGGTTAGCTTAGCTTCCGGTCATACCATGAGTTACCACTGTTTTACTAAACTTATCAAACCATGCACGAGGGGACTGTTTGAGGCCATAGATAGACTTATTGAGATGACACACACACTCCCCCTTATACTCAAACCCAGGTGGTTGAGTCACATAGACTGTCCCATTAAGGTCACCGTGCAGAAAGGCATTTTTAACAAGAAGTTGATGAAGTGGCCAATCTAGATTAGCTACAAGAGAGATTATCACACAAACAAAATTCAGTTTCGCCACAGGAAAGCATGTCTCAGTATAATCAAGGCCATAAGTCTGAGTGTAGCCTTTAGCAACAAGTCGAGCTTTGAGACAGTCAACAGTACCATCAGTCTTCTGTTTAACAGTAAAAACCCAACGACAACCAACAACCCAAATATCAGCAGGCTTAGGAATAAGGTCCCAAGTATGATTCAATTTTAAAGCGTTTATTTCTTCTTCCATAGCTTTCCTCCACCCTGGATGAGAAAGTGCCTCCCTGTAGGACTTAAGAAAAGTAATAGAGGATAATGACAAAGAAAAAGCTTAAAAAGAGGAGGACAATTTATTATACGATACAAAATTAGAGATAGGGTGATTGGTACAAGACCGTTTACCTTTCCGAACAGCAATAGGTTGATCAAGATCAAAGTCCGGAGAGATGGAAGAATCTCCAGGCGTTGAAGCGACTGGTGGAAGTGTCAAGGCTAGGCTTACTACTTCAGTCGTTGGAACATGATTAACTACTCTTTTCCGGCGACGAGCATAGACATAAAGAGCTGGTGGGATGTCAGAATCAAAAACTGGGCTGGAAGAACAGAACAGACTCTTGAAGAACAGAGTCCTCTAGGCGACTGCCTTCCTGAGAATAATAAGGAACATCCTCAAAGAAAGTTACATTTGCACAAACAAAATGTTTACAAATAGTTGGACTGTAACATTTATATCCCTTTTGAGTGCGAGAATAACCTAAGAAAATACATTTGTGAGCACGAGGATCAAGTTTGTCTCGTCCCGAGCTTAGATTATGAAGAAAACAGACACACCCAAACACCTTTGGAGGAATGGAAAAATGATTTTTGTCAGAAAACATTATTTGGAAGGGTGATTTTCCTTAAAGGACCCGAAAAGGCATGCAGTTTAAAAGATAAGCAGCAACCAGGACTACATCTGCCCAAAAATGTTTTGGAACATGCATTTGAATTGTTAAGGCACGAGCGATAGCTAGGAGTGGGCCATTCATCCGTTCAACAACTCCATTTTGTTGAGGGGTATCAACACAAGATGTTTAATGGATAATGCCCCTCGACTCAAGAAACTTTTGAAAAACATTAAGTTTATATGCAAGGGCATTGTCAATTCTAAGAACAAGTAATTTTGCATCAAACTGATTTTTGAATTTCAGCATAAAAGGATTGAAAAACAGAGAATACTTGAGATCTATCTTTAAGAATATAAACCCAAGTTAAACGTGAATAATCATCAATAAATGACACAAAATAACGAGCACCAAATAAACCAGTAGTACGAGCTAGTCCCTAAACATCCAAATGTACTAACTCAAAAGGTTTTAAACTTTTATCAAAACGAGACTTAAAAGTAGCCCAACGATGTTTACTAAGTTCACAAGTAGTACAATTAAACTTAGAAAAATCAACTAAAGAAGGGACCAAGGCTCGAAGACTATTTGAAGAGGGATGTCCAAGGCGGCAATGCCACTGGTAAGCTGAAGAAGAGGTGGAATGTAGAGATGTCAGAACAATAGTTGGCTAGAAGTAGTAAAGACCATCCTTCTCAAACCTCCCACCAATCGTCTTCTTCATCTTGAGATCCTAAAAGACACAACGGGAAGGAGAAAAAGTAACTGAGCAATTTAAATCTAATATGATTTTGCGAACTGACAATAAATTGAATGAAAATTGAGGCATATATAAAACTAATGAAAAAGTGAGACCCGAAGTGCGGAAGGTACCAATTTCATGAGTAGGTGATTTGGTACCATTCGCAATAGTAACAACCAATAGTGAGAAAACATGAGAAATATTAGAAAGAAGAGATGGGTTACCTATCATGTGATCGGATGCCCCTGAATCAATGATCCAAGGTGTAAAAGATGAAGCATGGAGACACGTATTACCTGAAGTAACGATAGTAGTGGTGAAGGAGGGCTGATTTGCACGCTCACGCTTTACCAGTTTGGTGCTAATAATTGATCCAAGAAGATGGGATTCCTTAGTATCCATCACAAGAGCTGCCGAACAAATGAGATATAGTAGCGAGAGGAAGCTGAGATAAGAGAACCAAGATCTAGCCGAGATTAACCCGAGAGAAATTAAGGAGAGAGCCGAGGAGGGATCCAAGAGAGATTGTTGAGACGAGAACTGAGATCACCGAGGAGAGATCGCCGAGAAGAGATTGAGAGAAAGCCGAGATGGAATCAAGAACGGAGTCTGAATAAAACTAAAAAAAAATTTAAAGAGGGATCGATTTCATACCATATTGAAAGAGAGAGAAAGAGAATATATGAAAACTTATATGTTATTGAGTAAGTAATACAATAACACAATGGTGTTTATATAGGAGAAGCTACGAGAGTAGGTGAGTGGAGAACAAGAAAACTCTATACATGGTAATTCTATATATGGTAATGAGGGGTAGGTGACAATTCATACAATACTAATTGTACACGTCTGACAACTCATACAATACAAACTGTACACGTGTGACAACTCATACAATACTTTACAACACTTATAAATATGAGAGACCTCAATAGACCACAAGACAGAGAGACACGTGAGATCCTTGGTGTACTGAGGATATGTACCAAAATAACCTTGCATTTCTTAGTGTGATCTCAATATAAAGTCCAAGTGATCCCTTAAATTATACTCACTCTGTCCCATATTAGTAGTCCACCTTTCTATTTAGGGATGTCCCATATTAGTTGTCCCATTTGAAAAGTCAAAGCAAAACAAGACTATCTTTCCATAATTACCCTTTAAATTTTCAAAAACCTCAAAACCTAGTGATATGCATATTTAAACTTAAAAGGACAAAACTAGGAAAAAAAAAAAAACTTAGAAGGACAATTTTGTACTTCACAGTGGGTATTAGATTAACCTAAAACCTTGTCAAGGGGTTTAAAGATTTAGGTACAACAGTACAAGATGACAAAGGTCTAAGACCATGAAAATTTGGTATTCTCACAGGTCGGTGTAAGGCAGGCACGAGGCAAAAAAGTCAGTTCAATACATAAGCAGGCATCAGCACAAGTTCGAAAAATTGATTCTCTGTGCTGACTGCTGAGGCAGTTGAGCTAGTAGAAGAGGACTAATGTCCAGGGGAAAGTGCTTTAGAATGACATAATTAATTAAACAAAGTCGGGACAAGCAAGAAGCAACAATTCTTAAGGGCTCATTCATGTGGCACAAGAAAGCACAGAGACGTTAGGCGCCATACTTAGTGCAATACAGTGTCTGCAATGATAAGCATGTAGGACCAAAGATCAGAGAGCAAAGGCATTCAATGGGGTACGACTGAGCATAACCTAAGAGGAATATGCCTCAAAGGATCTAGTGCTATAAGGAGGCAAACATATTGAATGAAGATGGACTGGATAGAATGGAGGCTCAACAAAAAATAGTACCATGTCATGGGAACGCCTAGTCAATTGGAAGGACTGACTTCGCATATGCAGTGGTGTGCAAGTTACAAAGGCTAGGTGGTGAAGAATCACAATCTGGCACTAGCAAATGTTCCATTTACTTGGAACCTCCCAAAGGCAACTAAAGGTCACAAACCTTGACAGGACCAAGAATTTCACTGGGAGATGACATAATATAATGGGTTTGGATAAGGTGTAGTTGTGTTTCATTTTAAAATGCATCACCCTACCTAACACACTTATTAAGTAGGTCTATCAAAGTCAGGAAGTTGAAGTCATATGACCTGATTTGACCTGTTAATTATTCGGGTCATGGTGACACAATACAATACGAACGTAAATGTGGTCCAAACAACACAATTATTTTTTTTTGATAAATAAAAGAATATTATTAAAAGACGCTCAAGAGGGGAGCGAAACCCAAGGAAATACAAAAGAGCGCAAAGGACTCAAGCCTTCATAGAGGCCAAAAAATTAACAATTTCCCCCAACGATCTATGATCTCTCCCTGAAACCCAACAAAAAAGAGTTGAAATAATAGAGAATTTAAGCACCGAAATCGACATCGCCTTTCCTTCAAAGTATCTCCTATTCCTTTCAAGCCAAATACACCACCACACACAAAGCGGCGTAGCTCTCCACGCATCCTGACTGGGAGCCCCCACATGGCAACCTCTCCACATCTCAATCAACTCTCTAATAGATCCTGGCATAACCCAATAAAACCCAAATAAGCCAAGCATCAAATCCCAACACTCTCTAGCCAAAGAGCAATGAATAAGAAGGTGATCCACAGATTCCTCATCACGAAGACACATATAACAACGATTGACCACCACCTGGCTTCTCCTTCTCAAATTATCCTGGGTTAAGATCCTACCCAGAACTGAAGTCCACACAAAGAAAGCCACTTTGAGAGGAGCCTTAGAACGCCAAACAGACTTCCAAGGAAAACGAACTCCAGGATCAAAAGAGAGGCACTTGAAGAAAGACCTCACCTCAAAACGCCCCTTGGAGTTTGCGACCCAATACCAACAATCCGAATCCTCCACCACAATCCTCTGGCGATATAACAACTCCAAGAGACGAATTGCCTCATCAATCTCCCAATCCTGAAAGGCATGCCTGAATCGAACATCCCAAACCAGTCTCCCATTATCAAGATGATAACAGTTAACCACTAAGACCTGCCTATCCGAAGCAATCCTGTAAAGCTGAGGAAAGGCAAAAGCAAGAGGAGCATCACCACACCACACATCCTCCCAAAAACAAATCCTCCTCCCATCTCTAAGATGAAACCGAATGTGCTTGGAAAAATCATCCCAACCCTTCCGAATAAATTTCCAAAACAACACAATTATGAATAAAATAATTATATAATAAGCTAGTATAATAAGCTTTTATACAAAACAAGTTATGTCATCATTAACAATGAAATCAACTTACCAAAAATCCCCAAAAAGAAGAGTGAAGTATAAGTAAATGAAAAGGAAAAGAAGAAGAATTGATTCACAATTTAGAATCAAATGTCGGGTTGCTTTAGCATTGAATAAGTTGGAGCAGTCAAAGACAGAGGGAAAAAAACGTATAGTAATCAATTCATTCCCGAAATCCAAGTGCCCTAAGAACCGATAAATTATTGGTGATATATATATATATATATATACACATATATATATATATATATTATATATAACAAACACAGATAGAGAGAAAGAGATATGGAACAGACCTTGAACGTAAAAGCAATCCATGTCGATGTGAGCGATGATCCTTGCATCAGATGATTCAGGTCGTGCAACTGGCATCGTCCCTCTTCTTGCTTTCGCTCTTTACTGCCCTTTCACTCTTCGACCTTCGATCTATTCCCTTCCCTCCCAGGGTATTCTCTTGTCAAATATCCAGGACGGATGGGGCGCGTAATTCATTTCGTTTCATAATATAGTATGTACTGCGTATAGGGTTTAATTCATTTATAACACGTGATTTGTCAATACTTCAAGCAAACCCACATTATCAAAAAATTACTCGGTCTCTCTTGAACATTGTCGACTGACTTTAGACAACTCGGATACTATGAAAATTGATTACATTGCATGTATGTAATTAAATGACAAAACTAGTCTCACGATATATCCAATTAATTAAAAAAATCAAAATTGATATTTTGTCAATTATTAAAATAACCTATGTAACATTTAAGTCATCAAAATACAAAACGACAGCATTTTTTGTGTAAATATATTTATATTTATTTTGGTATAATACAATACTAATCTCTGTTTACCAAACCCAAAACCCAATTATCCAAAATCTCTTTTCTTCTGTCTCTAATGACACTTTAATTAATCAAGATTAACTTAATCAAACTCACGCCAGAAATCATCATTTCTCGCCGTTGAAATGTCAATCTCAATCAGGTTCTCTTTTTCGACTTCACTTGTTCTTTTACCATCCAATGCAATCTCAATCAACCTATCTCTGTCGTCTTCCTCTCACCTGAAACCCATACTCTCCGGCGAGTCCCAGCCTCAGATCATCGGAAAATCGCCGTCCGACGAGCTATCCGAGTCAGATTCCGAATAATACAGCGACAACGAACTCCGATGGTGCTCACCGAATAATACAGCGACAACGTCGTCGTTTCTTTCTCCTTCTTCATCTTCACCTTCGTACTCTTCGTATATGAACTCCAATGGTGCTCTCAAGTTCCATTCAACAAACGAATCGGCGTAAAACGGATTTGGATCCAAATCCAAACCCAAACTCGTTTCGGGTTTGGACTGTGGGTGTTATTCGCGTGAGACCCATTTGCGATCTTCCTCTGGTGATGATGAATCATAGGTTTGTTGTGTGTCGGTGGAATTGAATTCCTTTTCCGTCGTTTGGATGAGTGCTAATCGAGGAAAAGAAAGAAAAAGAATTCCAGTTGAAATCAGAACTAGGGAGAAAACAATTCCGAGGAAAAGTCTAGGGAAATATAGGAGAATTAGGGTGTAGAGTGTGACAATGCTCGAGAAGAGAGAGTCAGAGGAAAGAGTGGAGAGAAAGGAAAATGTTCTTTCTAGAAACTTCATGGTCGAATTGAATTCCATAAGGAGGAGATTCAGAAAATAAAATAAGGGAATTCAGAGAGGGAGAGAGGGAAGAGAATGGAAAGGAAAATGATGGTTGGGATGAGATAATAGACATAATAAATACATACGCAGTCGTTTTGTACTTTGGTGACTTAAATGTCACCAAGGCTATTTTAGTAATTGGCCAAATATCAATTTTGACCTTTTTAATTGATTTGGTATATCAAAGGGGTAGTTTCATCATTTAATCACAGACATGGTGCAATGTAATCAATTTTCATAGTGTTGGAGGTTTTCTAAAGTAGGTTGGGGTTATTTGATCAAAAACTTATAGTATTGGGGGTTTTGTGAAATTTGCCAATAAAAAAAGCAAAAGTGTAAAAAAAAAATTTAAAAAAAATCCCTTAAACTATCAAGAAAGTGAAAAATAACTCACTTAATTATCTCGGATTGCAAATCAAACTCTCAACTATACAAAAGGTTGCAAATAAGTCTCTTCCGATCACTAGTCCACATTTTCTGGTCAAAATTATCACAATACCCCCACTTCTTAATTTATGTAAAACTTATAAAATATCAAAAATGTTTAATACCCATAATACTCTTCAAGGACCATCTTGCAACTAACCAACAGTTCACGGTTTTTTTTTTTTTTTTTTGTAATTTTGCCTAATAATAATAAAAAATATTAATAATTATAATAATAATATTAATAATAATAAAATAATAATAATAATATAAAAAATAACAAAAATAAATTACTTGATTAGTTGCTCGATGGATCCATATGCCTATAAATAGTTTTCGCAAGCCCATAAATTATCAAAAAATATTTCAAATAATAATATTTGTAGACACTAAAATTTTGTGGGCTTTTTCCTTGGCAAATTGGCCCATCAAATATGGGTCTTATGTTTATTTAAATTGTTCACTTAGCCCAAAATTTAAATTATTTAACTAGCCTGGTAGGTTAGTTAAATAAAAAAATAATTATTCCCAATAAAATATATGTGGAGATAATTATTCTAATGGATAATTATTACAATATAATAATAATAATAAAAACATATTATTATGATTGTGTGTTTATCAATAAATGACACATATCACTATCCTATTCATCTAGGAAGTCTGTAAATAGAGGGATGGAGGAAGGAAAAAGGACATCTAGAAATTCAGAAATCCAGAAGACTCAGAGAGTGAAAACTTAGAGAATATCATTCTCTAAACATTCATTCTCTCAACCCTAAAGTCTTGAAGAAGTACAACAATAAACACATTTTAAATCATGTCGTTAATTCTTCCTCAAATTCATCAAAATTCTCTGAAGATCGACGAAGAACAACAAGCACATCCAAAGTCGTATCGTTCTTCTTCAAATTCAACTAGTTTGAAGAATCACTAAACAACACTGTTTGAGATCAAACTTCGTTAGCTGTCGATCACAAATCATTTATGTTGAACAATAAGCACATCCAAAGTCGTGTCGTTCTTCATCAATTTCAACAATTTTGAAGAATCACCAAACAACATTGTTTGAGATCAAGCTTCGTCATGCCTTGATCATAAATCGTTGACAGACACCGTTCGAAATCAAGCTTCGTCAGTAGGGACGGAATAAGAAATTTTTTTAAAGGGGGCACATTGTATACTAAATACATATAAATTAGTGTTTATAGAGTGTATATATATAAATATATATAGAAAGAGAGACATAGGTAGACATATATAGAGAGAATGATATTTTGGGGATGAGATAAATTAATAAATTATATATATATTGTTGGAAACGTAGCATACAAAACATAAACATTGGGTGAAATTTTGGGTAGGTCCTGCTAAGAATTTCGTGCGAATCTATAAACGAAAGTGGTATATTTACTTTCTCAAATCCGTTTCCAGATAAATAAGAAATTAGTTCAAAAGTAAGGTATTTGATAAGCTTGAGTGAGTATGCAAAATGTAGGAAGTGGTTGGCCCACATTGAAAATAAAGTGAAACCAATTAGAATTTATATAGCCCAAGTTTAGAATTTGGGATTGGCCCGAGGCACCCAAGTTTTTAAAAGGGGGAGGACCTAGATAAGCTTGGGTCTAAGCCATTTACCACACACGTGCGTGCCATGCCCGCCTGGTCCTGTCCGAGCTTGGGCTTAATTATAAAATTCGATTAATTTTTTGTTAAATGAAAATTTTATTTTGGGCTGGGCTTACGAATGGTTGCACCTGGTGTGAACCAGTGCATCCAAGGGTTGTACTTAGTGTGAACCCCATTTGAATAAGTGCCTTTGGTGTTAGTTCAAGTTAAATCATTGTGTCCCGTGGTTGTTCGGGTTAACTGAAAAGGCACCTGCATGCCTATAAATCCTTGGGTCATTTGCAAATCATACCAAACTCATAAATCTTCTTCTCTAATTCTGAGTTTTCATTTCTTATTTTCTTCTCTTGTATTTACATACACATAGTTTTAGTGTGTTAGTTCAAGTCTGGTTCAGAAATAGAGTATTTCACCGAGCGGGTTCGCCCATTTCTCTGGTTTACAATACTGCTACATAAGAAAGAAAGGTTGTTGTATCATAGGGACATACACTACAGAATCCGTCAGTACTATAGTGGGGCAAATCTGTCTTAAGGACATAAAATCAAATTTTAGCATCGGACTATTATCAAGTTCCTTTATATATATATATATGTGTGTGTGTGTGAGTGTGTGTGTGTATATATATATATATATAGTTCGGTTTTATTATTATACTAGTATAAGTTCGGTTTTATTATTATACTAATATAAGTATATTTTATTTAGTATAATATATATGATTAGAGAATTTTATATATATATATATATATATATATATATATATATATATATATATATATTTATATTATATTTAAATTGTATTACTATAGTATATGGTACATAAAGACCATTTTTGGACAATATATGTAATACTCCTAATTTTAAAAGGATAGTCTCGGTATTTATTTCATGGTTTTATTACATTTTTAAATTCATTATTTGATTATTTGGCTATTTGTTTAATTGTTTAATTGGATTATTTGTTTTAATTAAAATTGTATGCTTATGTGGTAATTGAAGTATATAAGTAATTGTTTCTTTGATTTATTCTTAAATAGTGTGTTTGCTTTCATGAATTTATTTGTAGATTAAATGTGTTGTTTTTTTTTTTTATGTTTTTTTTATTTATTTTAAAAAGGTTTTTTAAATGGATAATAGTAATAGACCAACAGTTAGGTTACATGGACTACTTGAATGGGAGTTGGTTATGGGTACGGAAATTTACCCATATATGGATGATTGTATATATATTTAATATATACGTATATAAGGATGGAGAATTATTATTATTATTAATTATTTATTATTAATACTAATATTAGTAATTTCAGGTTAGTAGTGTATATATATATATATATATATATAAATTATGTGTATATATTTGATTATCACGTGTAGGACATTATATGTATATGTAATTATATTTTACTTTCATTTCTTTTTCCTTAAGTTCAAAGACTTGGAATGAAAGAAGGATTAGGGTTTGTATAAGCCTATATATATGTGTGTTATGTCTGTCAAGGGTTAGAAACCCTATTCATGTAAACATAGTGGTGGAGAGATATACAGAGAGGTTTGAGAGAAAAGTGTAATGCCCCTAGTTTCAAAAGGATATAAAAGAGATTTAATTATTTATTTTATTGTATTTTAGGTACTTACGTGGCTATGTGCTTATGTGACTTCATGTTTATGCTTATTTGTTTTAATTGCTTATATGATTTATTTGATTTTTTTGGATGTTAAATGATGTGTAGATTAATTGTAATTATTTGTTAGGATTAAATGATTTAATTGGTTTATGATTTTATTTTATGTTATTTTTTAAAAGGATGGATTTGGATAGTAGTATTGGACCACTCACTTGGGTCATATGGACTATTTGGATAGGATGAGTAACAGGTA